CCTATCATTGGTGTAATACAACAATAAATACTACTAGTGATGTAACTACAAGTAGTAATGATAGGTCAGGATTTATTGTTGTATTACACCAATGTGTACATCACTAGTAGTATAGGTTGGGACTACAAGTAGTCATTTATTGTTGTATTACACCAATGAGGTGTTGTAGTATTTAGGTTTAGAGAAAACTTGATGTAGGCACATCATCACGTTCATTTAGACAGCAGTAGGTAATAGTACTGGTGTTGTAGGATTTAGGTTTAGAGAAAACTTGATGTAGGCACACCACCAAATTTGTTTAGACAGCAGTAGGTAATACTACTGGTGTTGTAGGATTTAGGTTTAGAGAAAACTTGATGTAGGCACATCATCACGTTCGTTTAGACAGCAGTAGGTAATAGTACTGGTGTTGTAGGATTTAGGTTTAGAGAAAACTTGATGTAGGCACAACACCAAATTTGTTTAGACAGCAGTAGGTAATACTACTGTTGTTGTAGGATTTATCATTACCATGTTGTTTTGTTTGACTGCAAAGCCTTCTAGTGGCTATTCCAGTATATTAGTTTTTTGCATCTTGGACATGTGAGTTTATATACCGCTTGATCTAAACATGTTCAGTTAAAATGTTTCATTAAAACTGAGTGTAGATTAAAAAGGATCTTAACCTCTAAAGACAAACAACATCCACTGAATACATTGCTAGTGGTATATGAGCTCACATGCTTAAAGGCATATAGGACTGGTGTTTAGCTCCAGTTACCATTATGGAAGTGAGTGAGAATGGTGACGTGTTTCACTCCATTGCAAGTTAATCTCCCCCTGTTAGCTCTAATCCATCACACAAAGTACATATTAGATATGGCTAGTTATGAGTCAGCTCGGAAGCCACATAATGTACGATACCTAGAGTAGACTTATTAAATATATATTGTTTTAAATCATGGTTATAAATTTCATCTAACATTTTCTTTGAATTTTTTCAGGATATTCAGTCTCCTTCGACAATAACATCCCCAACAAATTATGCACCAGAAACTAGTTCAAGATCCACAGTAGAGTTCTCAAGTAAAGAAATGTCAGACAAGAGTCAGTTGACTGAGCAAATTCTTCAAAATGACAGAGGCACAGCCACACGTAGGATTTGTTGTTGTGTTCTAAATTATGAAAAATTTAAAAAAATACTTTTTTTCTCTTTAAATGGATTATTGACCATAGAAGTGAATAAAAATGAAATGTCTTTATTCTGTATTTATCATTTCAATGATAGTTTTGTTACATGCATGCTGAATTTTGTGGTATGTTTTCATTCAGTGGGATTAGTTACTGGTTATTGTTTGTGAGAGCCAATCATTATGGAAATGCATAATAACTGTTCTTACAGTCTTATAGTATACCCTTCCTTGTGCTTTAAGGTTAGTTGTTATGTGTTGAATATGTTATGGCAGCTGTTTAATTTTAAAAGTACTTTTAAAGGCTTTCCACGTCTGTGTATTTTGAGAGTAAACAAGAAAAAATTCCTTTGTTATATGAAGCCTTGTCATTACTTCATTCAGCAGTTAAACTACGTAAAACTGCACATTAAGCTTCCATTTCACACAAAACTTGCTCGACCTTTCAGCTGTGGGGGTGTTATAATGTGACTGTCAAGAGTTGGCGGTAGGTGATGATGACTAGCTGCCTTCAATCTAGTGTTACACTGCTAAATTAGGGACGGCTAGTGAAGATAGCCCTCGTTTAGCTTTGCGTGAAATTCAGAAAAACAAAACAAACAAGCTTGTAGGAGGTTAGCTAGTGAAGATAGCCCTCGTGTTGCTTTGCATGAAATTCAGAAAAACAAAACAAACAAGCTTGTAGGAGGTTAGCTGTATTATTTTTAATGCTGACATTATATTTATTAACTTCTGGACTGTAATTAGGGCTGGTACTGTTTTTAAGTTTAATTTATAGTTTGACTTCTTAATTTTTTTATGTTCTGATTGCTAGTCTTAGTAATGTATGAAAATATTTGAGAGAATTTCTGTGATTTCCAAAGTGTGATAAGTATTTGAAGTTTATTATTGTATTGTGATGAAAGAAATGTTTTTTGTTACAGCTCCTCTTGAACCTTTCTGTAATATTTTTTTTTTTCACGTAAACATATAAGTGTGCGGTGCACAGAAAAGGTTAACAACTATTAACAACAAATATATAACTTCATCGTACTGTTGTTTCCACTGAATAAGGAAATAAAATGTCACATAAGACAATAATGTCATCTATCATTAAGTGGTGATTGTCGTATTACACCAATGATAGGTTGGGACTACAAGTAGTCATGTACATCACTAGTAGTACCAAATTTGTTTAAACAGTAGTAGGTAATACTACTTGTTGTGCCTACATCAAGTTTTCTCTAAACCTAAATCCTACTACACTAGTAGTATTACCTACTACTGTTTAAACAAATTTGGTGTTGTGCCTACATCAAGTTTTCTCTAAACCTAAATCCTACAACACCACTAGTATTACCTACTACTGTTTAAACAAATTTGGTGTTGTGCCTACATCAAGTTTTCTCTAAACCTAAATCCTACAACACCACTAGTATTACCTACTACTGTTTAAACAAATTTGGTGGTGTGCCTACATCAAGTTTTCTCTAAACCTAAATCCTACAACACCAGTACTATTACCTACTACTGTTTAAACAAATTTGGTGTTGTGACTACATCAAGTTTTCTCTAAACCTAAATCCTACAACACCACTAGTATCACCT